ACCTCTAAACCATCAGAGGTGGGATCAGGTGCCATGGAGGAATAAGCATCCCCTGCCGACTGGTCACACCCGTCGTGTGCCTTTTGTCATGATCGGGAAATAACGGAAAACCCGTAGACAATTTAGTGTGTAGATAATGGTCTAACAATTAGTATGAAAAAGTCAGTCAGCATTTGACCTAATGAAAGGTTGTTTTTGCTGACAAAGTCATTGTATCGACCATAGGACTTACGAAAAATGACGACTGATATTCTTGTTTCTTCAACTTGTTTGTCAATAACATACCCCGTTTTAGAACTTGTTCGTACGTAGAGATTGCTCTTGCGTATCGAATCATCTGAGAAATATAAACCCCGTATGCAGGTGATAAGGGTATATTGCTGCATAAGTAAGGGAAGATAACGATGGGAAAGTTATAGTCATCAAGTTTATCATAAAGCTTGGTTGTTAGATAACCAATAATGTCTTTTTCAATTAAAATATCTAAATATGAAACAGATGTGTCAGACTCTGTGGATCTTTTATTTCACGTTCACTGGGATATATCGAATGGAAATAACCATTGTTAATTGACAATGTGTCGCCCATAAATCTAAATGTGGAGCTGAAGGCCAAAGCAAGTGTTTTCTTCTTTTCACGTAAACGATTCTGAACAAATTATGCTTCACATGAATAGGTCTGCTTATAACTGGGCGCAGTTGGTGCCCAAAATTATTAAAAGCAATGATGATATGTATATTTTTTCTATATATTCAGTTTCAAAGTGGTGCTGCTTGCGATAACCAGATGGAAAAGTTCAATAAATATGGAATAGAAGTAGGGAAGTGAATTCAAGACTACACAGCTTATTTTTCATTCGAATCTGTAAGCACTTCAAATTTCAACTAATTTCTTTGACCTTTCATCCATAAGAAGGCATTATTCCAGCAAACTAAAACAAGTTATAATTCTATTGCTACAACATTAGTTAATAAAAAAAACAAACAAAACAAAAACAGAAAAGGAAAGCCAATAATACTTGTACGCTGTAAAATATGTCTTTTCTTAGAATTAAACTTTACAAACCTGTTTTGTACCTGGCTGAATAATGCTTTGTTTTAATTTGAATTTGAATAGGATTTTGATTTCTAAAGGACAAGGTATGGTAACGGCCGAATCTGGCCCCTTATTAGATGTAAAAATCAGAACACAGTTAAAATTATGATAGTTTGCAGTTAAGAACTTAAAATGATGCTTGTTTTAAAATAAGCACTAATTTTGATTCAAAGCTTACATGGAGGCCACAACAGGTTGCAGAAGTAGACATTATTCCGAATTTCCTCAATTCTGGTGGAATTTCGTTAAATTTGAGCTACTTTTCACTTCGGGAAACATAGAGCACAAGCTTGCATATCTGAGATTTTTATACATAAAATGTATCTGATACTAGTGTATAAAATATAAATTTGGTATATAGGCAAGGTTGTGCTCTATGTTTTCTCAAACAAAATATGCTGTAAAATTGATGAAAATTTGCATTGAAATTCGGAAATTTTTTGACCTTCCTGTGACCTCTGTGTATCCCATAACTTAGATCCAATACTCATTTTGTGGCAGGGGTAACAACAGGTTTCTATTGGTAAACTGTTGCATCATTCTGTAAGACACCCAAAACCAAGAGCCAAAAAGGGGTCATAGCCTATCTTGTCCTTTTAAACTGTTAAAGAGCTAAGTTCACTATATGCATAAAATGGCCCTGTAGGTAAACCAATTTATCCACTAACACACTATGTCCCTTTCTCAACATCAATATAAAGTAGAGACTTGGCGCTTTCAGTTTGTATATAAAAGTTTCCTCTAAGGAGTCCAGGTACTCGAAAACAGGTTGTATGAAATTGTAATGTTCTTGCATTTTGCAGAAAACAGGTTAATTTGAGAACCTTCAACAAAGAATTAAAATATGAGCACACCCCTCGATCCAAAAATTAAAATATATCTTATTCTAATAAGCACTTCTTTCGTAATATATTTGCACATTTTGGATCGGAGGTTTTGCTGTATATGAAATATTGAAAAATAGCATCATATTTTGGCCATTTTTGAAGACATATTCGGGATATGTGAATAATGACGCAATTCATGACGTCATAATGCATTGACTATGAAGAACATTACGTCATTTTTAATAGAAATTCAGTCACCAAGTGTTCAAGTGATATTTATTGCCTTGTCGACTAAAACAATGCAGTTTTAATTTTTCAGAAATTTACAGGGCCAAAAATGGCCCTAAGTGGCCCTTGCTCTTTCATTAATTTTTTTTTCTATTCTATGTATATTTTCATATTTTCCAGTATTGTACAGAATGCTATAAGTACATTTCTCACTAATTTAAAATATGTAACATGTTTTGTGAATCAGCTTTTGTTATTTGAAATTTTCAATCTGAATTTAATAATTTTATTGCTAGATAAAAAATTAAACTGAGTCACGCTATATTAAAGAAAGGCATATATTTAAAATATATCAATTTTTGATTGTCAATAAAAATGTCTCTAAAGGTGCGGTCACACGATGCGATTTTTCATTCGATTTCCCATCCGATTTTTCCATTCGATTTGCTTTCGACTAAAATCGTACCGTGTGACCACCCAAGTCGAAAGTCCAAAGCAAAATCTGAAAGTCGATTGGAAATCGGATGGCGTCCGATTTTCAATCGACTTTCTGGTGAAAATCGTGACGCCACAATGACATTTCCCGCGACGCGAAATGAATGGTCGTTATTTTTGTCATCTATAATGAATGTATAAATTATTAATTGACAAAATATAAGGATACCCAGTAAACGGCAATTATTGCGTACAAATGGCTAATTATATAAAGCATACAAGTCATAAACTATTATTTTATTATCGTAGTTTGCGAGGACGGAGATTCATGTGTTTATAGAATGCCAATTTACGATTAAAGATTTTTTTTTTAATATCATAGATTTAGCTTGATTCAAATCATCGCATTTATCTTAAAAAAGAAGTTTTAGCTATTACTTTTAAAACCAGCACGGATGTTTATAAATCTAATTAAAATTAGATCTTTCATGTGCTTATGTTGCTGTAAATTAAGATCTGCGGTACACACCATATCAGTACTTCAGTAAGCTAGGGGTTCACGGCGAGATACTTTTGACTTGACGCCGCGTAAACACCCTAATCCTATTTTTAATAATATGAACAAGTAGTTTTTAAAGTATTTACACGGATTCTAATTATAAGCGTTCGTCAAGAGATTCAACTTATTTCATGTATATATATGTAAACGTGTAGAATAATTTAAAATGGTAGATTTTAATTTTCTAGAACTCACACATAAAAGTACTAAATGAAGTGGTTAACTAGATTAGGTTTTAAATTTTTACTCCTACAATAAGAGCCTCTGTAAACACCCCTACTCTCCTTATATACGGAACTACTAACGAAAAAAAAAAGACTGAAAAAAACTATTCATGTTTATTAGGAGAAATTACGTTGCTGTCTTTTCTCCTTGAATTATCTTCCTTATTTCTTTTCACTTCGACGTGATGTAGCATTGTACATGTACCTCTAACTACTGTATATATGTTTGTATGTTATTAATTTTGTAACTTATGTACCAATACTTTGGTTTGAATGAATAAATTGTACTTGGACCCCCCCCCCCCAAAAAAAAAAAAAAATTAAAAAAAATTCAACATTGAATTCTTTAAAAATATTAATGTTTAGTTTACATATCATCAGGGAAGTTTTTAAGTCTAATTTTTATTTATTTCATTATTTTTTTTAGGAAGGTAACATTCTTTACTTACATACCAAAAGTTACTTTTATTAAAATTTTGATTAATTTAATTATTGGAGCGTCTGGTGAATTTGATTTACAGTGTACCCAGTCACGCATTTTAAATATACACATAGTAATCAATGGACTGTAAATATTTCACTTACAGTAATTTGTGAAAATAAAAAGGCGATATTTCAAATGTTTTCAATAATATTGTTTCGTCAACTGCTGGTCAACGGAAAAAGTCAAACTTTTGTGACGTACCTATTTTACATTTCTTGTTAGCGAAAGTCTAGTGCAGGTTCTTTTTTTAAATCTTTTTATGCCGAAATGAAAAAAAAAATACATGTATTTTCCTTCATTAGTCAGTTTAAAAACCCTGGAAAACATCAGATACTTCGGACAAGTTCTTTACATGCGGTATGTTTTCTTCAGAGATAACCTGTAGATTACGTCAACATCAGCGTCATAATGGGGCAAATGACGTAATATTAAACTGAATGAAGGGAAAAAATATTTCATAATGATGCTTTTTAGTTTATTACAATAATCAGAACAACTTCAAACTAAAAAAAAAACAACCAAGTACCTGTCCATTTCTTGTCAAAATCGAATGTAAAATCGTATCGTGTGACCACCCCACCAATCGACTCCAATCGACTTACCTGAGCAAGTCGAATGAAAATCGAATGAAAAATCGCATCGTGTGACCGCACCTTAAGTTTACGTCGCGCCTTTTTATCTTAATAATTAAACAAACTGGCCTACAGATATGTCTGTTTGTTTTTTAATGATAATTGCCTAGCGCACTTCTGAAACATTTTACTTAATTTTCGCATTTGATATAAAAAGGGTTCATGAATGAATTGGAAAAGATAAAATATAACAATCTGAAATCCTTAATGAAAATATTCTGTTTAAAAACTTTGATAATAATCTTGTTAACTGAAGTTGACTACAATAAACCACATTCAAATAAAATAGACAATATTCTCCATAAAGTGTGTTAAAGGTTTCAAAAAAAAAAAAATAAAAAAATCAAGATACAAGAAAGATAACGTATAATTCATTCCATTCTATAAGTATTGCAAAAGGATCTGTCGAATACTGAAATGACAAGAAACATAACTAGGTTTTTACATGCCGTGTAGTTTCAGTATTGATCTGAAATGCTGAAGGCGATAGAATCAATAAACAAATTAAAACCTTACCTGCAAATCGTTCAATAATGCCTTCATTGCAGACATTCCCCAATTCTTTTATATATTGACCTAATTAAATAATTGCAAGAAGAATTATACTTAAATTTTCTTAACTTTAAAAATTGCTGATAAAAGTCTACATTGAAAAGAAAGTCTCGTTTTTCAAATGTTTTCGATAAGTGGTCCTGAAAAAAGAAACAATATTTGTATAAATATTTGACTGATCATCGAGGAGTTGAATAACTATGTAATGACGTTGGAACACACACAAAAACAATCGCATTCGAAAATACTTCTTGAGAGTTGTAATTTAATCCTGTTTGGGGCCAACTTATCTTGATAAATAATAATAATAATAATAATAATAATAATAATAATACCGTATATACTCGCCTATAAGTCGGTCCGCCTATAAGTCGGTTGTATTTTTTGAGGTTAGTTGTGAAGGATTTGCCATTGACCCGCTTATAAGTCGGTATATATTTTTGCCAGAATCGATTGAAAATTTCAAATCAATGCTCTGATCTTTTACATCAAATGTAACCTGGTTTCAATGTACATTTTAAGAAATGACGCAGTTATGTAATCTTAAGTCATTAAAAAAAAATAAGTAATGCACACTAAAGATAAAAATAAAGTTATGAAAATATGTGAATACTTGTACCTTTACATGTGTAAATGCATAATCTTAGAATACATAAATGATACAAAATATCCAGAAAATGTTTATAAAATACTACATTTCGCCCTTCAGAAATATACCAATCCTTTTATGACTCGCCTATAAGTCGGACATAGAGTTTTGGACCAAAATCTAACTCCCAAAAAACCGACTTATAGGCGAGTATATACGGTAATAATAATAATAATAATAATAAATTTTATAAATCTGTAATATAGGTACATAGGAATACCCAAAAATTTTAGGGATTAAACAGGCGTAGTGGATTTTTTTTTTCTGAAAGCACATGTGAAACTAATATCCTGATAAAAACAAAACGCGATAAAGGTACCACACGATACAATAAACATTTTTATATATAGGCATGATTGGCCTTACTGTATATGATAATTATTTTTGGTATGTAAGTATGTATACAACATTAATTGCCTTAGCAGGGTGTTACCTTATAGCTATTAGTTATGACTGCGCTCAAAAATATTTTATAATGTATGACAGGGCCTAGCTGGGAAAATGTCGTAACGTTACATTACTTTTATATTCAGAGTACTATTTTTTTTTATTTTGACACAATTATATTTATATTATATTTATAAAGATAAAAAAGCTCACTGTTATAGATTAACAGCTTACCTTTCAGGTATATGACTAAAATCGTTATGAAAGCTGTGAGTGCCACTGCCAAAAAAACTCCAAGAATTATTGAAATATTCGTTCTTTTTCGCATTCCACTTTTATATTCCATGTCTCCTAATTCAAAAAATTATTTTTACTACACATTACCGTATATCAAACAATAGTTAAAGGTTATATGAAAACATGCTCTATCCTTAAAACTCTATTTTTTTCAAAGAATGTAACTGATATTTAACTTTATTTATCCTTTAAAAAAACCATTGTATAAACAACTTACGAAAGCAAAATGCTTATTTGCCTCGCCAATAGTCTTTTTAATTTAATATCAATAACTAAAATACCCCTTACCTTGTTAAAAGACCATTTTATTCATTACAAAAGTATTATCTTCTTACCTATCTTTAAACCACTATTTTCAGGACTAACCGAAGACATTTTTCTAGATGTCAGAAAAATTGGATCTTGTTTTCTCTCCTGTTAAATTTGCTCTCTTACCTTCTTATACATACACCTACAAAAAAAAAAAAACAAAAAAAACAAGGAAACAAAAAATAACTAATGATACGTTTTTTCTCAATAATTGTCTAGTTTTTCCTTGCTTAAAGGGAAATTCAACTTAAGAAAACAAACATTTACATTTAAATTTATTTTATCAGACACGCATCTTGTGAGTCTTTCTTTATCAATATTTTCAACATACATTAAGAATCCTATAGTAACAGTCGTGTTAAGCAATACGTGGTACGTAATTATTTAAATATTTTGACATAATGCTTTTTTTCAATTATAGACAATTTAACGTCCAATATAACTTAGATATTTATTTGTGAATACGAATATTCAACGAGTGTTTAGCAAGCAGCTCGGCTTTCAATCTTTTTTTTTATTTTTCTTTCTAATGATTTTTTAACATTTTTTCCGGGGTATTATCAGATGTTAACAATTACATTTGGATTCACGACATATTTTTCGTACAATAGTGGTTATAATGACCAAAAAACAATGAGAAAATACTCTAAACCAATTTTTAAAATAACTGTAATAGTAAGTCATTAATCAGTAACCCAATTTTGTTTTACCATTGCCCGCATTTAACACATGCTTTTATGAATAGAGTATTTTTTGTAAGACATTAAACAAGTGCTCAATATGCAACTGTTAGTGGAAATTAGCTTCATTGTTTATATGACGAAAGCTGGCGGTTAAGTTAAAATCTCTGCAGTGTCTTTTCTTTTGAGTAAAAACCGTTCACGGTAGCACAGTCGGTAGAGCGCGCGCTCTGTGATCGGGAGGTCGTGAGTTCGAATCACGGCCGCGACAAACCTAAGTCGATAAAAAATAGGTAGCAACTGTTCCTTCGCCATGAGTTCTGCACTTTGAAGTGAAAGTTGCGGGTCTTTCTTATGAGACCTTAAAAACCGAGGCCCCGTGTCACGGCAGGCGTTGGCACGATAAAGATCCCTCAACGGTCAATGGCCCGGAGTGCCGAGTAAAGGTCAAAATTTGAAGCCCTTCAATGGTATATGGTGACGTCCTGTATGAGTGAAAAATTCTCGAATTGGACTTTCAACAACATACAATCATTCAATCATCTTTTGAGTAAAGAACAAGGCACAGTTTCAGTACAGTTTCAGTACAGATCTGGACCTGTATTTTTCTGACATATGGAAGTAAAGTAAGAAATTAAAATTCATCTTTTCTGAATCATAGGATTACTTGCAGTAAGAATATACAAATCGCTTTTCTCATTTGACCTCCTAAATGCTAATTGTGACATCATATGCTTGTGCATTTTTAGATAATATAGAGCAAATGTATCGCCCAAAAAGATTTTTAATCTGTGAATATTTAAAGGATTTTACACAACATATCTGAAAAATTACGTGCGCGATGGCTGTGGATACTGTTTTCTTAAGGGAAATAACCCCTAAAACGATTCAGCACATTCAACCTATCATTGAGTCAAATGCTGACTGACGTTTTTCATACCAATTGTTAGGCCTTTACTTATATACTGAACTGTCTACGGATTTCTCCGTTATTACCCAATCATGACAAGGATCACACGGCGGGTGTGACCGGTCGGCAGGGGATGCTCACTCCTCCATGGCACCTGATCCCACCTCTAAATTTTGAGGTCCGTGTTGCTCTGCTTCAAATTTGTATCGTTTCATTGGACTTTCGAGATTGAATCTGTTCGTTATCTTCATATTTCATTTGAGGCTTTTTCTGTTTAAAACTTCGAAATGTATCAAGTTAATGACGTTATATATCCAAAATGGTCCCCCTTCATGTCATATTCTTTCATGATTTATCACATTCATATGCTCAACTCATGCGTAAGCCAATTTCATAATTGTATGAGAACACTGTTGACGAATGATGGAAAATAACTTGATTCGAGATATTGACGGTAAAATGATTTAAATATGGTTGGTTAGGACTTCCAAGTCACTTTAGCATATGAAAATATGAAGATAATGTACAATGATCGATCTAAAAAATACTTGACAATTTCAAAGAAAATAAAGGAGTATTTAACAGTAGTCAACTGCAAAAAAAAAAAAAAAAAAAAAAAAAAAAAAAAAAAAAAAAAATGGAGGAGTTTTCAGCACTGCTCCACTAAACAGAAAAAGGAATACTTAACAGTGGTCAAATGGAAAGAAATTAAGGGAGCTTTTATCTGATTGTTGTCTGCCAAAAAAAAAGATAGAGGAGTATACAGCTAAATATTAAAATGGACAAATGCAAAGAAAATGGAGGAGTATTCAACTAATGGTCAAATGCAAAGAAAATTTGAGGAATTTTCATCTAATGATCAACTGCAAAGAAGATAGAGGAGTAGTCAAGTAATCGTCAACTGAGTGTTTAGGAGCATTAAACATTTTAGTCAGATATATGCAAGTGAGTTGGACGCTCCCTTATTTCCATGGCAAAATTCAACTGATGGTCAATTGACGGTCACTTTATTGTCAACGAACGATCAACTGAATACATCGATTGAATTCTAATAGTATTTTTCTTTACATATGAGTCATGCTATAAACACATTTATGATAAAACTTTCAAATAAGTTTTATCTTTTCTGCCAAGTGTTTCCTGAGACGAAGATATTTTTAAAGATGACATGAAATTCTCACAAATTCTTAATTATCACTCCTTGAAAGAGAACTATTTTCTATGAACAAGTAAATGTTCCTAGTAAATGCCCTTTTCCAAGGACGCAGGTATGTTAAGACTACACCCAGACATCCTACTTGCCTATATACTAAGACGGCATAGTAAACTGTATGTGGTGAACTTTAAAGTTTAAACTTTCTTAATATCTATATTTAAATTTTAATATCGGTCCAAGAAATGAATGGGAATATAAAAAAAAAAAAAAATATGTAAACTTGATCTTGTCTTTTTAGGTGGTGTGAATAGCTAAGTATTTATCATGGGGTTAAATATCAAATCCATGGCGTCATAACTATTGATAAAATATATGCCGAGTTAAAACTAAAAGTGACGAGAATTCATGTAACTAAATATATGAAATAGGAGTTTTGAGGATATACCGAGAATGTCAAGTGTGATTCATAAGGAATTAAAGATTAAGAATAATACTGTAAAAGTTGTTATTTACGCGTGGGGGAAATTTACACTACTTACGCGGTAAGTTTAGAACCGCGTAAAATACCTCCGCGCGTATGATCACAAAATTTCTAAGTTCTGGAATCATTCTAGACTATTACTAATACTCATATACCAGTCGAAACAATCATATATCAATCGTGGTATTGAATGCACGTGAGTAGATAATTACATCACAAACAGTGAAGAAAACGCTTTTTTTTTTTTTATTAAATTGTGCATTGAAAAATGCATCTTCGTATTATATATCTTAAACCAACGTTCCGCAAGTAGAGCTTCAAAAAATCATTCTTATTTTCGTTTCCTTTGTATGTACGAGTATCCCTCTTAATTTAAAAAAAAAATTAGTCCAAAATTTTACACAAACTCACAGTCACTACAAACATTCCTTCTGAATTGTCAACACTCGCCATGAAGATACAGTTAAGTAGATTTCACTTTGAAGTTTGAGCTTGCGTAAATAATTACAATAAAGCGTACACCTGTGAACAACTGTTCACACTTCAACGCTTTTGACTATGCAGATCGCCTTTATATTTAGCAATCCCAGGAACATGCACATATTGATGACCAATATAAATTCTTTTTGTTTTATATTATTTGTTTCATTTCTAATTTATATTTTCTTATTCATTTGTGTAAACTTCTTGACCTTTTCAAAGGGGGACAACTCGATGTTAGTAACGATGGCCGCGTAAATTTTTCTCGGTAACTCGTGCTACCGCGTATATTACACCCACGCGTAATGTTTGACAGTCACAAACGCATACTTAACAACCAGTGTAAATAATCACTTTTACAGTATACGCTGATTTATTCTTATCATTCTTATAATCCTTATGATTTTTTTTCTTATAATGAACACACACACTGTTTTCAAATTCTTTTTTGCCTTTTCTCTGTCGGTCTAACAACAAAAAGTTCAACACTACGCAGCATACTTTGAAGCATAAAATTGTATCGAAAGCTTGTATTTTATAGTACTTGGAAAGTCCTGCTAGAATCGTGTGGTCAACATACATTGATGACAATATCTTGATATTTGTACAAAATACAAAAATAAGGTTCCATGCTAAACTTTGGAATATTTTTTCGGGGACGCGAGAGTATGATTCTAGCAGGAATTTTTATGGCCTGCTAATGTTTTTATATAATTATTATAACAGAAAGGAATGAATTATCCCCGGGGTAGTGTTGAGCTTTTGGCTATTTCATGAAGACAATTTTTCTATTTATAGACGTCAAGGGATGACGTTGTTATGGAGTTTTCTTTTAGCCTATGATTCAATGACCTCTTGATAATGGATAGTAATACTAAATGTATTATTTATGGCTTTTCCGATTTATCAATATTACATGTTACACAAAAGTCATTATTTGCAAAAAGAATCTGGGTACTGCCTTTTCATACCTGCGGATACTTTGTGGCAAGTTTGGTTGAAACTAGTCTAATGATTCTTCAGAAAATGTCAAAAATTCGAAAAGTTTGCAGAAAAACGACACACAGCATATGTCAAACGAGGGAAGGCCTCTCTTTAAGCAGAAAAGCGTACTTAAGCCTTTGGCTCAAGTGAGCTAAAATGTTAAGGACCCTCTCTACATTGCACACTAATTAAGGTCTTCCGTCACAACGGAAGACCTTCTACTGATTCTGATGGTTAAGATTATTATTCTTTTTTTTCTTCTCCTTTCTAGACGCCAACTTTGAGACCTCATATCTCGCTCATTTCTCAACGGATTTTGCTCAAATTTTCAGAATTTATAGACGTTACAAAACTCTATCAGAATGCTGTCATACATTTAAAAAGTCCCCTTCCGCTTTGGAATTATTTCCCTTTAAATGAAAATTGGG